CTGCACGGTGGTCCCATGAACACCCACCCTCTTTATCCCCTCCTCTGCCCACAGAAGGCCGTGTTGTCTGCCAACAGGAAGGCATCTGGAAATGCCATAAAAAAAATGGAACAATTTTTCCTAGAGCAGGTAAGCTGGGTGGTTTGGGACGGAGGGCAGTGTCAGAGCTGGTAGGAGCCACCGGCTGGGATAGCAAACGTAGAGTGGGGGCCAGCGTCGGGACAGGACAGTGCAGGGACTCAGGGGGGCATTAGGTTGGGGGGAGTGAGGAGCACAGGAAGAGGTGTGTATGTGAGGGGCCTCCTGGATCCCCCAGCATGCTGACCCTCCCTGTTTGCCATCCCCTTCTCGGTCTTCCTTTCTCTCTCTCATGGTCACCTGGCTGTGATTCCTAGGCTGAGGTCGAGTGCCTGCAGGTGACACCTGGCAAGATGCAGCAACGGCTGAAGGAGAAACACCAAGAGTTGTTGCAGGGCTGCTGGGAGGAGCTGCAGGGTGATGACTTCCAGAAAAAAGTGGCCCTGGAGGAGCTGGAGCAGGAGTCTGCAAGGATGCAGGAGGCTTCCCTGCTGCTCTATAGGAACAAGTATAAGGTCTGGTTCCTTTGCTACCTTGAAGAGCTCTGTGCATTGTGTATGGCCCTGTGAGAAGGAGTGGCCGCCCCAAGGATGGCATGAGTACAGGCATAATTGCCATCAGAGCAGAGATGGGGTCAGATATTTGCCTGCTTGTGTTTTGGTTTGATTTGTCCCAGGATGAATGAATTCGGGTTCTGGGGCATCACCCAAAGTCACTGGGAACTAAATACTTCCTTGACCCCTATGAAGTCCCTCAGAATACAGCCCTGCTTGCTCTCCATCTCTCCTATGATAGTCCTATTCACTGGTCCTCAGTTTCCAAAACCCAAAGAAGAAATGGGGATTGCATGTACAAATGCTAGTGCATGTGTAGTCTAATACATATGAAACCTTTCATGAGCGGTTTTCATATTGCCCTTGTTCGGAGCAGCAAGTTTGCACCCACGTTATAAGGGAAAACAGTTTTTAAAGCCACTGTGTCGAGGAGCCATGCAATTTAGATGCCAAGAAGTGGCCATAGAGCAGTCACTCAATGAAGAGCAATTGCACAGACCCAGTGAGTGTGTGGGAGGCTGGAAAACCATCTCCTTTCATCAGCTGTCTCTGAGGTGGATAAATATGTATAGACGCCATGCTGCAGGACCCAGGGGCTGCAGGGAATCCTGGGCAAGCTACAGGTTCCCTTCATTTGGGTGGTGGGAGTGTGGCTGCAGTGCATCAGGGGATAGGAGGGGAGGAGGCTTGTCCCAAAGGATATGTGGGGTGGGGGGATAGTTGTAGGGATGTGGGTCACCATTGAGGTGTCAGGCAGGTGTTTCGTTTTCATCATACGGGGGGCAATGTCAATCGTGGTGGAAGCAGCAGGTGCAAGGTGGTCCCATGAACACCCACCATCATTATCCCCTCCTGTGCCCACAGGAGGCCGTGTTGTCTGCCAACAGGAAGGCAGCTGGAAACGCCATGAAGGAACTGGAAAAGTTTGTCCTTGGGCAGGTAAGTTAGGTGTGGGTTGGAAATGAGAGGCAGTGTTGGAGCAGGTGTGAGCAGAAGTGGATGAAGATTCACTGGGGGGCCCTGCAGCCCAGCACCACCCCCCAGCTTGGGCCAACCCCTGACCCATGCCCTGTATGTATGTGAGGGGACTCCCAGGTCCCCCAGCATGCAGATCATCATCCCTATTTGCCACCCCCTTCTCTGTGTGTGTGTCTCTCTCTCTCTCTCTCTCTCTCTCTCTCACACATGGTCATCTGGACTGTGGTTCCCAGGCTGAGGTCGAGTGCCTGCAGGTGACACCCGGTGAGATGCAGCAGCAACTGAAGGAGAAACACCAAGAGCTGTTGCAGGGCTGCCGGGAGGAGCTGCTGGGTGACGACTCCCAAAAACAGGCCATCCTGGAGGAGCTGGAGCAGGAGTCTGCAAGGAAGCAAGAGGCTTCCCTGGTGCTCTATAGGGAAAAGTATAAGGTCTGGCTGCTTTGCTACCCTGAAGGTCTGTGCACACTGCTCATGGCTCTGTGGGAAGTGAAGGCCACCCCCAAGGATGTCACGAGTGTAGGCACGATTGGCATCAGAACAGGGATGTGCTCAGGGTCGTGCACCTTGTTGGGTTTTGGCTTGATTTCGCCCAGGAGGAGTGAATTCAGAATCAGTGGGGTCACTATGTAGTGCCCCAAGGTCCCTGGGAACCAAATACTTCCCTTAACGCAATAACGCCACTTCGCATACGGCCCTCCTTCCATTCAGTCTCTCCTGTGCCGCTTCTGTTCACTTGGCCTTGCTTTCCAAAACCCAAGGAAGAAATTGGGATTGCATGCAAAAATGCTGGTGCATGTGTAGTCTAGTGTCCATAAAATCTTGCATGAGGGGCTCTCATTTTGTCCTTGTTTGTAGCAGCAAATTTGTGTACAATGTAGGAGGGGAAACAGGTCTGTAAAGCCATTGTGTTGAGACGCCAGTCAGTTTAGGTGGAAAGAGGTGGCCGCGGAGCAGTCACTCAATAAAAAGCAGTTACACAGGCCTAGTCACTGCCAGGGAGGTTAGTATATGAGCCCCTCATTTCCAGGCCGTTGGGTGGTGGTTGCATCTTGGTGAACTGGCAGTAAGAAAAGGAGACATGCAGACACATGGGGGAAGAGAACTGATGCAGACTTATTCTCTAAACCCTCGTTCTCAGACCAAAGGGAAACCCAGTGCAGAAGGTGGGGTCAGCCCTCTGCCTCCTACATCTTGTGTTTGGGGGGCCTGTTTTTCGTTAGTAGCTGATAGTGGACTCCAGGAAAGTGCAGGTAGAGACAGGAACCCTTAATTTGGGTGTTGGGAATGTGGCTTGCATGCCTTGGGAAGGGGGAGGAGAGGGATGGGCAGCTGGAGAGTGGTTGGGCAGGGGCTTGGTTTTCAGGAAATGATGGAGCTGGCTGCATTGGGGAGAGTGGGAGGGTGTTCCTGGGACTCCAGCAACATGGTAGACCCACTCTTCTGCCCACAGGATGCTGTCTCCTCTGCCAACAGGGTGTTGACTAAAGGGGTCAAGGAAGAATTTGCTGAATTTCTTAATGCACAGGTAAGTTTGGAGGTTGTGCATGTTTGGGCTCAGGGGCCATGTCAGACGTGTGAATGTGCCCATGGCTGGGATAGCAGGGGCCCATGTTTCTAGATCACCATGATCGAGGGTCACCATCAGGCCTGGGGGAGGGCAGAGGGTGGGAGGCAAAGAGCTGCAGGTCAGAAATAAGGGTACTGGCACATGGTCTTTTTCTGGCCACGCTTAATCTGCTCTCAGACTGGCCTTCCTTACCTTCCATCCCACTTCCTTTCCTTTCTGTGGTCTATCCCTTTTTTAAATGTGAAATCCAGTCCATGCCTATGGTGATGGTTTTGACACCCAGGAAAATACAGCAGCTCGTGAAGTATAAATGCTTGGAGTTGTGGAAATGCTACTGGACATGACTGGAGAAGAGTCTGAGAAATAGGCCTCCATAAGAGAGCTAGATCAGGCGCTAGAAGCTATGGAGAAGGAATTTCTTAAAATCATTGATGCAAAGTTCAAAACTATGGGTGTGGCCTTTGGGCTAGACTGCGTGTCATTGCCAAGTGTGGGCATTTTTATCTGTGTGGCAGTCACAAAAGGAATGGCAATGGACGCAGGGGTAGTGGGGTTGGGCCTGGCTGGTGCTGGCTTGCTTGCCAAAGTTAGGTCATCGGTTTAAAAAAAACCCAAAGGGGCATTGAAATGCAAGGAACAGTTACCCAGAAAAAGAGAATAGGATGAATTTCCTACAGCCCTCCCAACTCTAAGATAGGCCTTGTAGCACCCCAAAATGTAGAAGCATAGAAAATGAGGGTTGGAAGGGACCTCAGGAGATCATCTAGTCCACCCTATGCTCAAAGCAGGATTGTCCTCAACTAGATCATCCCAAGCAAGGTTTTGACTACCTGGGTCTTAAAAACCTCAAAGGTTGGGAATTCCACCATTTCTCTGGGTAACCTGTTCCAGTGTATAACTACCTTCCCAGTGAGAGAGTTTTGCCTAATATCTAACTTAAACTTTCTTTGCTGCAACTTGAGCCCATTGCTCCTTGTTCTGTCATCTGCCACCACTGAGAACAGCCCAGCTCCATCCTCTTTGGGACCACCGTCAGGGAGTTGAGGGCTGCTATTAAATCCCTCCACAGTTTTCTCTTCTCCAGACTAAATCAGCCCAGTTCCCTCAGCATCTCCTCACAAGTCATGTGTTCCAGCCGCTGAACCATTTTCGTTGCCCTTCGCTGCATTGTCTCCCATTTGTCTATCATGTGTTCCAGCCCCTGAACCATTTTCATTGCCCTTCGCTGCATTGTCTCCCATTTGTCTACATCCCTTCCGTGCTGGGGGTGCAAAACTAGACAGTACTCTAGACCGGGCCTCACTGGGGCTGAATAGAGGGGAAGAATCCCTTGATCTGCTGGCAACGATCCTACTAATGCTGCCTAGTACACCGTTAGCCTTCTTTGCAACAAAAGCTTATATTCAGCTTCTTGTCCACTGTAACCCACAGCTCCTTTTCAGTAGTGCTGTTGCTTAGCCAGCTGGCCCCCAGCATGTACTCATGCTACGTGGGGTTGAAGGCCTCGATAGATATACAGTTTGTAAGGAAATATAGATTTCTGAGTACGAATTAGATATTAAAGCCATTGACACTTGTGAAGTCATGCCAGATTTGCACCAGGTAAATCACTAACTCTCTTCTCCTGCTGTGCAGTCACCGCTCTTTTCATTTTGCTTTGCTTGCCAACTACTGGGGAAATTTTGGGAGGAGGGAGGTCATTTGCTAAAATTGATGGTTCATGTATATCTAGCTATGTAGCAAATACTGTCTCTCCCTGGGTTGAAACGCCAAGTTTGTGCAAAAAGTCACCTAAGTTTGTGAGCCAGTGGGCACACCCACGTGTGCATTAGTGTGCCTTGCTTACTGCACATTAAGTTGAGTACCTGTAATAATAGGAACTAACTAAATGAGCAGTAACCGGTACTACTACCCAGTAGCACCAGCACGTGCCTTTTAAGTGACACTAATGTGCAGTAGACTAATTTTACTGCACATCAGTGCAGTAACACAGCTTTTACTGTGACACGCTAATGTGCCATAGAATTAATCAACTCCACATTTAGCATCTCATGTAGACGTGCCCAGTAAGTATCGGGGAAGGTCAATGTAGGTAGAAGATTGTCTAATTCCTTAGGATGCTCATTAAACTGCAGCCTAGACGAATGGTGTCACTTCCCAGCAGGGACAAAATGCAAGCTACACTTGTAAGACTTCTGGTAGAGTTAGTTCATCCCTTTGGGGGGAACAAGTGGTCCAGCAGAAAACCTAACTTGTGTGTTTTAGTTAACCTTATCAGTGATTTTGTGTCTTTACCTATTTCTGTTGTTCAGCAATGGGGCACTTGTATATGCAACAGGGCTTTTTTGCACAGTGTCTTAATCTGTCGCCCTTAATTTATTTAATTAATGAACTAAAAAAAGGAGGTCAGCAGAAGATTGATCCACGTCGGGCTCAGCAGCTACACCTGGTGGGCCAAAACATTCGTTATACTGACTACCTGCAAATGACCCGATATAACTTGACCCTACACCTACACCCCTGATATAACCTGTGAATTGTAGTGACACCTGGTGGGCAAGGGGGCTCCGGACACATAATTTGGTGAGTTGACCTGCACATGACATGTACACCTGGCAGATGTTTTTGTCCACAGTGGGACAAAACATTCATTATACTGACTACCTGCAAATAACTCGACCCTACACCTACACCCCTGATATAACCTGTGAATTGTAGTGACACCTGGTGGGCAAGGGGGCTCAGGACACATAATTTGGTGAGTTGACCTGCACATGACATGTACACCTGGCAGATGTTTTTGTCCACAGTGGGACAATTTGCCATGATCCAACTAAAATACATCGGGAGGTAGTCTGAAAATTGCCGCAATGTGGGACAGTTTGAGACAACAAAACCTTGTGCACGTGTACATGGTGACACCCTTATGCTAGCCATGGTGATGTTCATCATGTGTACATGCACAAGTCATCACATGCACAAGAGCCCCAAATACACAGTAGAATAGATGTCTGCACATTAAGTATCACCTAAAAAGTGTGTCCTTGCACTACTGCACATTAGCACAGCCTAATGTGCATTAATTTAGTACCTCACATTGGATGTACTAAATTTTAATGTGCTTTAGGAAAAGCACATTAATGCATGTGTAGATGCACCCAGGGAGTGTCAGGGATGAGTGGTAATGGAGCAACGGGTAGTGGGCTGTGGTTCAGGAATGCTGAAAGACCCTTATACCTCCATGAAAGGCTGCAACAGCCCCTCAAGCTGCCCAGACTCCAAGACTAATCTCTGTCTCCCCACCCGCAACCAGGACCATGACACACAGACTGAGGAGCAGTGCCTCCAGGTGGAGCCCAATGAGCTGCAGCAACGCCTGGAGAGAAAATACCATGACTTGCTGCAGCACTGCCAGGGCAAGATGATGGGAGAGGAGCCCCAGAAAGAGGACACCCTGGGGAAGCTAGGGCAGAAGCTGAGAGAGAGCAGTGAGGAATTCTTGCACACCTACAGACAACAATTCAGGCAGGTCTGTGTCTTTGCCAACCCTCAGGAGTGATGCACTCAGGCCATGGCAGGCTGGGTCAAAGGGGTAGAGGTGACCAGAACCATTGAAGCAGCATCTTCAGGGTCAGAGCCATGGGCACTGGGGTGTGTGGAGCAGGATGAATGCTTGGATATAGTGGGGTGCTAAGGATCGCCATTCCATACATGGATGTCTGTTTAGAAATCAAGATGCTCTTCAGGACCAAAAAGGAGCTGGTGGTGGAAAGGGAGAGACTGGGGTATGCCCTCCCCACAGTGCATGCAAGTGCCCCCTCCCAGGCCTGGACGCAAGCAAAGGGACAGTGAGGCAGAGACAGAAGTGTAAGCAGACAGGCAGAGGGAGGGCCACTGGTGGCCTGCGTTGCCCATTCAGGTCTTTTCCTTTGTATGCAAATGAAGTTGTTTGACAGGGCAGGACTGGCACAACTGCTACTTGCACTTTTCAGACCCTGGAAACCCTCAAGAGTGGCAACGCAGATACTTAAAATAATTTCTGGACAATTTTTAGTAAAGAAGGTTTAACGCTAAGGTTTCTACCCTATTCTATATGGGTCTGGTAAAGTCAAAGAATAAGAAACCATCATTACCAATGCAGAACTTAAGCAATAGCTAATCAGGAATTTCAAGCTCTGATAAGAGTGGTATCCAACAGTACCTTAGTGATCTTCAGGTTGGAGACTCCAATTGCACAGTAGCATCCCATTTTGTACCCACTCTTTTAACTAGATGCCCCCAAAATGCCCTATCCAGGAACAGGCCTCCTGATCTCCCCCTATGTGGCTGGATAGTCTGTGTCTCTTGGGCACAGGCAGAAGAGGGGAGTGCAGTGCCCCTAGGGAAATGTTGGGGAGGGGGAGAAGAATGGAATGAGTTAGCCCAGGCAAGATACCCCTTTGCTGCTGTGCATAGGTGACGTGTAGGAGGGAAACGCCGGGGGGGCATGTGCCCCTCCAAGAGCGCTGGTGCCCCCCTGATAGCGAGCATGCCATCTGGTAGTGGGGCAAAGAGAGCGCTAGTGCCCCCCCACCCCCATCACCAGCTTGCCACTGGGGAACACCCACAGTCATGCCCCGCTGGTGCTCCCCCAGACTTGGGAGGCACCAGTCACCCACGTTGCTGTGGAAGGGGCATGCAGGGGGTTCCAGGAGTGGTCCCATAACCACCTCCCTCCCCGTTTCCCTGCACAGATGGAGAACTCTACCAACCTGAAAGCAAAGGGAAGAATCAAGCAGCAGTTTGAAGAATTTATTCAGGAGCAGGTGAGTGTGTGGGACTGCAGGTCAAGCTGCAGGGCCCTGGCGCAGTGAAGGGCGGATGCCCTGAGCTAGAGGAGCAGGGAGTGGAGGGCCGGAGACGGGAGATGTGGCAAGGCTGGAGGTGTAATCCAGGACAGGAGGGCAGGGAGGCAGGGGCCTGTGGGAAGTGGCAGGGTAAAGGGCAGGTCTGTGGGGCCCAGGCCTGGGACAGCAGTGGGTGCCCGTTAGGAGTGGGGGGCAGTGGTAGGGCGGTGTGTCTGTCGGAGGTGACCATCTCCTGAGCACCAAAAGCTAATTTCTGTCTCCCCTCCACCCAGGACCATGACACCCAGACTGAAGAGCAGTGCCTGCAGCTGAAGCCGAGTGGGATGTGGAAGCAGCTGGAGGAAAAATACCAGGACTTGCTGCAGCACTTGAAGGGGAGACTGATGGGAGAAGAGCCCCAGAAAGAGGATATCCTGAGGGAACTGGAGGAGGAGCTGAGAGAGAGAATGAATGAATTCCTGCTCATTTACAACCAGCGATTCAGACAGGTCTCACTCTTCCAAACCTCAAGGGCCCTGGCAGGCCGGGACAAGGGGGCAGGGTTTCCAGAGCCATGGCAGCAGTATCTGCAGGGTCAGAGCCATGGGCACTGAAGCGTGTGGAGGAGGAAAGATGCTTGGACATTGTGGGGTGCTCGGGATTGCCATTCTGTATGTGGATGTTTGTCTTGACATAAAGACACCCATCAGCCCAGGGGAGGAGAGGCATGGGAAAGTTGGTTCAGTGCAGAAGCTCTTGATGGCCAGAGGAAGAAGGTGTGGAGCAGTCCCCACAAAGCCAAACAGGCTCCCGGCCCTCTTCCAGCCCTGGATCTAGGTGCACAGATAGCAAGAGATAAATGGACATGTACAGAGGTAGATCAAGGGTGTGTGCAGAGATTTGATATTTCTGGTATGGGTGCTATGGGATGGGAGAGCATCTATTGACATGGTTTCTGCCCCCTTACCTTGGCAGGGGAGTGTGGAGCAACTGGGGGCAAAAGAGCTTTACTGCTCGCTTCTTCTGCCCCACACCCTGCTGCCTCCAAGAAGCTATGCAGCTTGGTGATACTATTTGAAATGCTCCCACTGGAGAGGTGACAGGGGGTAGATGTCTCTCCACCCTGAAACACTCCTTTTGTGAAGAGCTTCAAAGTGTATATGCCCTTCAAAATGCTTCAACAGCTGCATTTATCTCCACCCCTAGATTCAGCTTCCCCTGAATATGGGGGAAAGCAGCTTGCAGGGGATAAAGAGAGTTCGTTATGAATTTATATTAGGGAATCTTAGGAAACATAATTTATTAGAAAAGGCTGAAAGAAATTAAATTAATGAGTTTGGAGAAGAAACGGTTGAGGGCAATTGGATAGCAGTTTTCAAATACCCATGGTAATAAGGAGGATAGAAATGGACTGTTTTGCATGGCCACAGGGGACTGAACAAAGAGTAATGGTCTCAAATTGTAGCAGAGGAAATGTAGGCTGGGGATTAGGAAGAACTTTCTGACTATGAAAGTTATGTAGACCTGGAGGGGATTGCTTAGAGAGGAAGCAGGGTCTCCATCCTTGGAAGTGTCTAAGAGCAGACTGGACAAACAGTGGGGTCAGAGTATTTCGGCAGCACAGGTTCTGCCTGCAAGGGGGCTGTTCCTCAGGCATTCGCTCTAACATTTTTATTAGCAACCTTGGTGCTGGAAATATGTGTCCTTCCCAAATGCACCATCAGTGCTCAGTTGCAGGTATTGCCAATATGGAAGAGGATTCATGCAAATTCATATACAGGAGGACTTTAGATCATCTGTCAGATTCATGTAAATTCATTCCTGTGGAGAGATTTCCCCCAGTGAGCGTATCACTGCTGTACTCCAACACAGCAGGTGTGTCTAGACGTACATTTTAAGCATGCCTAAATTTACTGCGCATTAGCTTCATGTGCATTAAGTGGGTTTAGACACACGTCTATATGTGTAGGCATTAAAGTCCATTAACGCTCTGTGTGAACTGACTTCGGACTAAAGTTAGTCCCATGTCCATCAACACACAGTGTTCGTGGGCTTGAACACATCTACGTGTTCCTTAATGTGCTTTACCTATTTGAACCTACATTTGTTACCTACATTTGCAGGTATCAAATTTAGGCACGATTAGCCTTATATCACCATTTTTAATGTGCGTTAATAGCATACACGTGTAGACATATACCCTAATGTGCCTTATGTTTAGGGTAAAGAGTCTTAAAGCATCTTGTGTAGATGCACCCAAAGAGACCCTGGAATATGGCTGGGGCGGCGGGAAACTCCAGTTCTCCCTGCTTACCAAGACACAGCCCCAGACATCCTTGGGATGTGTGTAAATAGGGAAGGTGAGACAGGTTCCCCCCAGGCTTCAGGGGCCTGATCCAATTCCCAGCGCTCCTAGGACAGGGATCCTCAAGCCTGCAGAGTCCCTGTGTGGGGTGGCTGGAACAGAGTTCCAGGTGTAACTGTTTTGGAAATGCTTAAAAATGTACTGTTTCAGTTGCTCAATGGATATCCACAGGGTGACCATATGTCCCAAATTGCCCGAGGCTGTCCCAGATTGCATTAGCTGTAGCAATCTCTTGGCCATTGGAGAATTATTTTTTTTTAAGACCTGGATTGGTGGGAACCTGGTAGCTCCAGGGTCAGGGCACAGAGCGGGGAGGGCGCATGCGCATGCACCGTCTGTCCTGCCCATGCTCTGGGAGCTGTGGAGTGGAGAAGGAGAGAGTGTCTTGCCTAACCAACTTGATTGCCTTCTATGATGCGGTGACTGGCTCTGTGGATGTGGTGTACCTTGACTTCAGCAGGGGTTTTGATGCAATCTCCACAGCATTCTTGCAGGCAATCTGAGAAAATATTGGTTGGATGAATGCACTGCAAGGTGGATAGAAAACTGGCTGGAGCATCAGGCTCAGAGGGTAGTAATCAATGGCTCCATGTCTAGTTGGCAGCTGGTATCAAGTGGAGAGCCCCAGGGGTTGGTTCTGGGGCCAGTTTTGTTCAATGTCTCCATCAACAACTTGGAAGATGGCATAGAGAACACCCTCAGCAAGTCTGCAGATGACACCAAGCTGGAGGCAGTAGTAGATGTCCTGTCCTGCGGTGTTAGGATTCATAGTGACCGAGTCAAATTAGAGGATTAGGCCAAAAGGGATGTCATGAGGTTCAACAAGGACAAGGGCAAAGTCCTGCACTTAGGACGGAGCAATCCCATGCACCGGTGCAGGCTGGGGGTGACGGGCTGGGCAGCAGCTCTGCAGAAAAGGACCTGGGGGGACAGGGAACAATAGGCTGAATATGAGCCAGCAGTGTGTCCTTGGTGCCAAGAAGGCTAACAGCATCCTGGGCTGCATTGGTAGGAGTGTTGCCGGTAGGTCAAGAGAAGTGATTGTTCCCCTCTATTCAGCACTGGTGAGGCCACATCTGGAGTCCTGTGCCCAGTTTAAGGCCCCCCCAATACAGAAAGGTTTTGGATAAGTGTGAGTGCGCACAATGTGGAAAGCGGGCTACAAGCCATTTTAAGTTGTCTGATAGAAGACCCTTCTAGCCAGGCCCCTCTCACTGAGCCTGGGAAGCCAGCTCTACTTCTTAGGGCGGGGTGGTCACGTATATTCTGGCCACACGGGTCCACCCAGACCTTGATTTTGGTAGACCACCAAATGTACTTGTGGGGCTCCAGGAATTATCCACGCCCATCCACCTCCCCATTTTTCTCCACAGATTGAAGCAAAGGAAAGAATCAAGAAGCAATTTGAAGAATTTATTGAGGAGCAGGTGAGCATGTAGGGCTGCCGGTTCAGCTGTAGGGTCCATGGGAAAGCAGAAGGGGCGGCTAAGGATAGGCCAGAAGGGCGGCAGGCTGGCAGAGCTGGAGGAATCTAGGACAGGGAAGACAGGAGCTCAGGATGGGGCATGAGGGTCCCAAGCCGGAGGCATGGGCAGCAGCCTGTTGGTAAGGGGTGATGGGAAGTGAGTTTTGGGAAGGGCCCAGATCTGGGACAACAGAGGGTGCAATCTGAGGTCTGGGGTTTACCTGGGCTTTGTTTCTGTTAGAGCTTAGTGTGATTCCCCACGCTGTATCATTAATGCCAGATCCCTCTCTCTCTCTCTCCTCCCTCTTTAGAAGCAAGACTCTGAATCCATGTTCAAGTGCCTGAAGATGAATCCCAACAAGATGCGGCAGCACCTGGAGAAGAAGCGCGATTCTTTGCTGCAGAGCTGCTCAAGGGAGCTGTCGGATGAAAAGTCCCAGATTTCAGCCACAAGAGAGATGCTGGAGACGGATTTGAAAAATATGATGGAGGATTTCTTCTTACTCTATGAGGAGCACTACAAAAAGAAGTTCTTCATGATGTGTGTGAGCATAGGTGCAATTGCCTCCCTCCCAATTGGTGCAGGCATTGGTGCAGGTGTGGCTGCAGCTGTGGCTGGGGGCCAAACCCAA